ACTGACTGGACTGGACTGGACTGGCCTGGTACCGACCGTGGTACCGGGCGGGACTGGACTGGACTGAAACAATATACGGCCTGTGGGGTCAGGCCACGGCCTGGTCCCACAGGCCGAACTGGCAAATAGCCAAATAGGCCCTGGCTGTAGGCCGGGGCAGATGAAGGCCCGCTGCACTCCTCTTGCTCCTCGAACGCTGTGGAGTTGAGCCAATCCTCATCGTCTTCTTCTTCGGCTTCGCCGTAAGCATCACGTGTACGAAGCTCAGCAAGCTCATTCGCTGCCTTCTTCTTATTGACATACTTGATGTTGTCCTTGCAGCAGAGAATCTCCAAGTCTGCCTTGTACTCTTTCATTAGCTCCTTCTTCATGTCCTCCATGTACTGCTTTCTTGCCCCTGTCTCGGTGGAAGCCACGACCACCTTCTTGCCCTCGCATACACGATCGAACCCGAAGTTCGCTGATCTTGCTGCCGAGAAGGATCCCGACATTCGCCTGGCATGCCCCGCGACTGAGGCGAACACCTCTGCGAGTCTTCCTGTTGGCCTGCTGGAGGATGGTGTGCTGCTCGTTACCCTTTCTGGATTCGATGTCCGGTTGCCGGTAGTTGGAGTTGTTGTTGTGCTCGTACCAGCCCGAGTGAGAGGTCTAGTCGGGGGAGGGGTTGGGGGTTGATGATTAGGAGCCGGGGGGGAGGGGGGGTTATCGCGAGAAAGAGAGGGGGAAGTTGGAGGGGGAGGTGGAGGGGGACCTGCTGGTGTACGAGGGGAGATCGGGTGATGGCTGAGACCAGCGTCAAAGGTGCGACGAGCAGAGGGCCCGGGGCAGGATGTTTGTGAGGAGGGGGGTGCCCATTTCCAAGTGTCGTGTAGATCGACCGAGCATGGGGGGGAGAAGGAGGAGGAGGGGGAGGGGGAGGGGAAGGGGGAGGAGGAGGGGAGAGAGGCGAGGTGCGGTTGGATGGATTAGCCACAACGTGAGAGTGTGGGAAAGATGGGTAGGGTGGAGGGTATTGGGAGGAAAGGTTCGGGGAACCGGAAGGTTCGTATGAAGGGGGCACTAAGGTGGAGGGAGAGATCCGAGACGTTCGATAGTTGCAACCATGCGCAGGAGCATGGATTCCTGATTCTTTTGGAATGACTCTTGGTCGCGCTTCAGCATGTTGAAGTTCATCAGCAAGAGTCCAGGGTCAAGAGGGCTGATCGTTGGC